GCCCCCTTCCCCTCCTCACTACCACTCTTTGCCACGGCGCTAAATCAACCACTGTCACCCCCCACCCTGACAACGACAAGAAGGACATTCGTCAGCCCGGGCGCCGACCGGACCGGTCAGTCGACCGGTAACGGTCGCTGGCCCGCCTGGAGGGTAAGAGTTTAGAGCCGGGCGAAGGCGGCGCGGACACCTCGGCTGCCTCTAAAGGGGCGACCCTAAAAGATTTCATCGACAAACAACACGATTAGGTAATTCTCATAAACCACCACACATTTCTCCAGCGTCACGCTGAAAAGAACGCGTGTGTATATTTAATTCTGCATGTGCTGTAGCGTAGAAGATGTTTGTTTGAAAATTGTGGCATTTTCACTGCACAATATGCCATGTCTTGAACTTTTCCACACACATTGCAAGGTAGTGTTAACACTGAGGGGTCAAACACACTTGCAAACCATTTATTTTTTAACTTAACTTGGTCTATCAGTGCAATCGGGTCTCGGGGCTGTCCAGCCCACCCTCCGCGCGCAGGTGGCGGCCGCTGGATTAATTAAGGCAAAAGAGCGAGCCTCGGGCGCGGAGGGCGGAGCTGAGCGGCCTGCAGAGGCTGCTGGCTAATAAATCAACATCTGCCAATATCCGCCGCCGTCCAGGTGACAGCCGAGAAAAATACATGGGGGTTCCGAGAGAAGGAAAGGGGAGAAAAGGAGGAGGGAAGAGCTCTCGCCCGCTCTTAACCCTTTCGCCCCACCAGCGGGCCAGCACGCCTCCTCTCTTACCCCTTTCACCCCGGTTTACTTTGTCGCATCTGACACCGTCTGACACGGGTTTCCTATCCAGGTATTTCTCACGACGCCGCCGGCGGAGCAGCGCCTCCAGCTGGACCCTTTTGCTCCCCGACGGCTGTGACGGCGCAGTCAATCCTTACCGCACGGGCCGCACGGCAGAGAGACAGGCGGGGTTGAAAGAGAACGGAGAGGGAGGCGGGGGTGAGGACGGGCGGGGGTCAGCGTCGGCGCCGGGCAGAGCAAGTGCAAACACAACAACTAATCACTTCGGGGAACGGCAATATTTATTCACGGAGCTCGTTCTCGCAACTCTCGCCGCTCAGCACAGCCCTCCGTCGCCATGGGGTCAGCGATACGCCTCCACCCTCGGCAGACTGTCGTCGACACGAATGTTCTTACATTTAAAACGAGCACATTTTTTACTCGCCTATGGATTTTAAGATGATGCGTACTGCATGTATTTTTACGATTCGAAATTGTAATTTTACAACTTGCGTCAAGGAAAATTTTCCTGTAAACTTTCCCACTACTTTTTTTTTTTTACAGTGGCACAATGTTGCATTCATAATTTAATAGTGTTCTGATTTTAACCATGCGGAGACAGTCACATTTTCGAGTCACCCTTGACCAAGACATTATCCCATCAGGCCCTGGGTAAAATCTGTCCTCTGTATTATCGGTAACCCTAGAATAATTTGTAACCAACTGGTTGGGAATTGTTAAAACTGCTTTTGGTTGAAGGTGTAAAGGCCACTCAGATTAATTTCTTTAGCACAAAAAAACACAACAAAAATGGTCCCTTCTTTGTTCCATTCTTCCTATACAATCGCACCATCCAACCCATTTATCTGACTATTTGTTTTCTACGACAAGCCCCTCTCCCCTTTTTCTTTCTTCGATTTTCATTTTATACAACCTACATTTTCTCCGGAGGCGATTCCTCTTCTCAGAACTAGGCTACTTCTCGCATCACTTGACCAAATAATACCAGACGGGCGGGATTCAGTCGTCTTCGAAGAAAAGAGGTGGGCAAGCGGAATGGCCGGCACCTATACCCAATTATTGTGAAGGAGGCAAATGGAGTCGATGAGTGATGCCGATATGGACCGCACCGTGCAGTGTGCAGTGCGAGTCTTCCCAATCACGGGCGCGCAGTCTCCCTCACGGCGGCGGCCCCGGGCGCCCGAGGCAACGGCCCACTCCCTGTCGGCCGGCTAGTGTCTCCTCCCCAATCTTGGCGCTGCTGCTGCTAAGTCGGCTTAACGGGTCGTCATTGTGCTCTGCGCGCTGGTTTCCTTCCTACCCAGAGGGCTCCGGCGGGACCAGAAGGGGTGCACTGTAAAGACGAAATTT